TTAGAAAATAAAGCTCTGAATGACCCAACAGGTAGGAAGACAAAAATGTTTCATGTTTTTTTGTGAGCAGGCATACTTCTCTGCCAGTGGGACAAAAGATGGAGGTAGAGAAAACAAAGTTTTATCAAACTAGCCTCTTATTCTGTCAAAGATATTTCGAGGAATGTCTGTATGGCTGGTTCAAACACCAACAGAAAAACAGTTATTTGATTTCAACAAAAAGTAAAACCAAGGTTACATTTGGTCAGATACAATCTTTTGTCACTAAACTTTAACCAACCAAAATAAGACCAACTTGACTTAGCAGTAGAGTGAACTGAATTTGGCCTAAGACGTGGACAGGGTGTGGGACCTCTTTGGCCCACAGCTTTTACCTCCTGGTTAGTTTACAGAGCATAGATCTGGTGAGATCATCCTTGTGAGGCTGTTCCACTGCTAATGAGAGGGGGAGGAAGGTTTTCCAAGGCAACTCATGCCTCACTGGAGGTCCTCGTGTCATCTGTGGATTTGTGGTTTGTGCTCGCAGTGATTCAGGCCCTACCTTGGACTGAGTTTTTCCATTTTCGCCCCAGAAGGTAATGAATGAAGATGGAACGTGTTTTATTTTTGGACACATTCATCATGGTAATCTTTTTAGCCTGAGTGAAAGCCTGATTCAAGTTTTTTTTTGTTTAGGCTGTCCAGATAACCCTTTAGGAGCCATTGAGAAATCTCTGAAACAAATTGAAGTCACAAGGCAATATTTCCAAGCATTGTTGACTAATATGACCTTACACTGTCTACACTGGAAACAGTGAATATTAGAGACTTCACACCAAAAAAAAAATCACTTTTCCACACGCATAGCAAGATGAGCCTTTATATTGTTCAATATTTGCCAAATTCTTATCGCCAGTAGGAAAAGTTTCCTACAGCAGACATAAGCAGATTTGAACTCGCTGCTAATGATTCAGCCTGCAGACATCTGGCGCCCGCTCTACAGTATAAGGTGGCTTATATGTTTCTATCTGTGGCCAAGTGATAGGAAGCCATCTCAACTATTCTCATTTACTAAGGGTATTTGCTGCACTAAAACAACATGGTACAATATATAAGCCTAATGTAGTGTTACATATAGGACTGCAGATGGAAATTAGCTATTAGCTCAAATCTGGCATAATTCATCTCTTCTCTTTTCTGAGATTAATGTAATTGTATGCATGGTCCTTGTTGAAATAAATACATAATAATACATACAAATCACCAATTTGCTGTAATTCATAATTTCACGAGAGATTTTGTGGAGAACGCCTGAAATCATGTAACTCAGTAGCATGCTTCCTAGCTTCATAGTCTACCACACAGCTTCAGTTAATGTTTAAATGTGTGTCTCAAGAACCATGCCCAGGTAACACATAATCATGATTATTTGTTAACACTTAAAAGCTCCCCCATAGAGACCACAGAACACATTTTTAATGCTGAGTAGCTAGTTATTATGGGGAGTAACATGAACCTCAGGAGTAACACTGGTGAAATGTCCCTTTATTGGACTTTCTATACTATACTCTTCTGTATGATATCTAGCAATTTAGTCCCACCATCGAGTCAGACAAGCTAATTTAGCGCACGTGTAACATTTTTGACAAATGTTCGGTTAATTTGTGTTTCACAGTTATACCCGATTAAAACAATGCTTCATAATCTACACAAATAACTACTTTTATAATTTAGTATTATTATTAATCGAGTCTTACTTTCTTACGAGTATTCGTATCACTCCAATAACGGGAGGGTAATGGGCGTTACCATGGCTACAGCTTAGCTCTGCTGCCGTTGGTTATCACCTCTAGGAACATCAGGGTCTCTTTTCCTTTTTTTTTTAGAGGTGGGTGTTGCCTGTCCGGTCCGCAGACCGTTCTTTCTCCTCGCTGAATGGGAGAAGAAAAAAGGTGTTTCTTTTCTTTCGGGGGATATGAATTTGAATCTCAGTTGCACACGGATAATTCACGGAAGTTCTGCTTAAACCAGTCACAGATGAGCAACCGAGTTTTGATCGGGGAAGTGCCTCCTCTGCGGTTGGAGCCAAGAGCTAAAAGGACTTTACTTTTTACGCCACGGTAAAGATGATATTTCATTACGTGGTAGCGACTTTCCCGAAATGTTTAACTTGTGAATCATGTGGGACAATAGTCAGATGTATTATTTTGCTTTTTTAACATTCATGACTTTTGACTAACGTGTATTTTAATGTATGGATGTAATAGGCTACTTTGGGCATACAGTCTGTAGTCATGAATAGTGTAGACGAGGATATATTTGGGTAGTTTTACTGTTATTTGTGTAGGCTACTTTAATAATGACATTACTAAGTTTCAAAACAGAATGGATAACCGTAAATAGTTGTATTTCTTTGTAAATGTTACTGTTGAAGGGTTAAACACGTGTAACTACATTATGTTGACAGGAAAATGAAAATGTGAAAAGTGAGACTTTGTTGACTTGGCACTGTGAATTATAACATCTGTTGAAACACATTTTATGCTTGGAAGATACTGCGGTGCTGCAACCACAGCTATCTGTATAATAGAGGATGTCTTCTTCACCACTCAGCACAGACATGTATCCCATGGAGCTTTGTCTTAGCTTTCCTTTATGCAGAAAGGATACACAGTGCCAAGTGAACTGCAATATGTAATTTTCTTTTAATGTGTTCCATTTCATCCGGTTTTATAGTTAGACTAGGTGCTTATATACAGTTTGTCCGTTCTGTGCTTGTTATTTTTGCAGTTTGCTACATGCCATGGTGGCAACCAGCACTTATGTGTGTGTGTGATTTCAGTGATGCTCAGGTCTACGTATGGACAGTGATTGTTTCGTCACCGACCAGCTCCACATCACCAATCATCCCTCATTCACCCTAAATCAGAAAATTCTCTCAGCAGCCCAACTCAAATAATAGCGCGGACACACAAATGAGAGAGACGTTGGAGTTGTGCCACAGAAAACAAAAGTTAATTGCCACCCTATGTATGAAGTATGCACTTAGCTGGTGTACTCCCACCCTCTCCACGTCTAGATTTCACCTCTGGGAGCAGACACTTTTGGCTTGTAATATCAACAACACATCGGCCCTCCTGCCTCCTCTCTGGCTGACATCCCTGTGGGGTTATTCATGGCCCCTCTGTCGCCTCTGACAGAGGTGGTATTGTTCGAACATACCGCGAACATCTGGGCTTGATGTAAATCAAACTTATTTTCCTCATTGATGGTTTGTGAAAACATTGTAGAATCCTCAAATCAAACATTCATCTTAGGAATTTCCTTGATCGTGTCAAACTGCGTCTTTGAGGTCACGTCTCTACGGCCACAAATCACTTAACTTGAATGTTTCTTTTGTGCAACAAAATGCTTTAAAACCAAAGTGTCAGGGTAAGCTTTTTCTTTGTTTTACAACTGCATATACAACTCGACTACAGCCATGTGATGAAATCCAATCCTGAACGTGTATCGGCCGTTTTTGTTTCCCTGTATTTTTCTAGGCAATTCAGTGTTCCATGCCTCTGCTAATTGCAGACTGCAGAGCCACAAAGAACATTTCAGCTCAGTAGGAACGCAAAGGAAAGTGAAAAGTACTGATTCAGCTTGAGCAGTGACTCAGCTTTAAATGGTCTTATTAATTTACCTTTACCGCATTTTGTGTGCCAAACATGGATTATCACCTGTGGTTGCCAGTAGTAATGATGGGGAAACATCATTTTGAGTTGGACTTGCGTTAAGCTCTTAAGATATCATTTTTAAATTCAACATCGTATTATTGCTTCTACTGTATAAAGCACATACAAATGACTTCCTCTTCCATTTTGTAAACTCCTCTCTGACCCTGGATATTTTAATTCTCCCGTGATGTTTCGGTTGACTGAAAGGCTACACCTCTTGTTGAACTCCACACAATAATCTGCATTTTAAATGTATTTAGATATCATGTATCCAGAGAGCTGCTGCCCAGTGAGCCGTTTATCTACACTGTCCTTGTCTTCCTCACACAAGAGGCCAATCTGGCACCATGTGTTTCAGGAAGACGCTGGACTTCATTGTGGGGTGGAGGGAAGGGTCAGGAAGAGGTTAGCAGCTTGTCACTCCGATTTCTCTTCATCCTAATTCTTTAGAGCATACCAGACTGCTTTCTTAAACCCTGAGCTGTCAGTCGCCATACTTTTTATTCAGTGTGATTTATCAGCATATCTTGTAAAGTTTCCTTTGAAGCTACAGTTAAAGATTGCAGTTTGTTGCCCCCTGTTTTAAAACGTGCTGTGATAGGAATTTATTAAATTATGGCTGAGCTTATATTATTTAAATAGCTTCTTCAAACGTTAAAAAAATAACTCTTCTTTGGACAGCTAGTTAGTATTGCGTTTCCCATAAAAGATTTGTGGTTTGCTAAAAGCTTTTTACCTCTGAAATGTTTATGAAGGATGGGTTGTTTTAGGTGAATGATGTTTAAAAATACAGGCATGGGTTTCTCTGTCACAGATTCTATTTTGTGTTTTTTGATAAAAGACAGACTATGTTATAATAATCAGACTATGTTGGGTTTTATCAGTTATCCAAGTATATGTTATACATCATAACATCATTTAATTCAAGGAATTTCCTACATAGAAATACTAGAAAATAAGTTTTTAAAAGTTTTGGAACAAGTACAAAGCAGACACAATTGGATAATAAGTACACACAATTAATGCTTTATCATTGAAACTGAACAGTCCACTCTTGAAGCGCTGGTCACCATATGGTCTGCAGCTCTGATGTGTTAGTTGAAACGAAGCAGCTGCGGCCATGTTGGAATTACCTGCTTGTTTGAGCATGTGACCACCTCCAGTGACAGCTTACTGCAGGCATATGGACATCTCTCTGTTGCTGCCAGCCTTTGTTTTACCTCCAAACTGTAAATGTAAACTCTGTACATTACATTCATATTGTCGCCATGTTTGCTAAGTGGTCATCCTTTGTTGTTTCAGCTGGGATGAGAGCAGCTCCATCAGCAGTGGGCTCAGCGACGGTGAAGGCGATGGCTCAGAGAACCTCAGTTCAGAGGAGTTCAACGTCAGCTCCTCCCTTAACTCCCTCCCCACTACACCCCTGGGATCCAGACGCAACTCTTCTGCCATGGTGAGCTGAAATCCTGTGCCTAACACTCTCTGACAGCTTTTGGCTTTCCTTTCATCACGTTATTTTGTTAGAGGATAAGAACATGGCTTTTACTTAAAGGGGACCTATCATGCAAAATGCACTTTTGTACGTCTTTTGTACATGAATATGTGTCCCCGGTGTGTCAGGGAACTCACCAAGTGTCAGAAAACACAACCCTCTCTCTTTTCCTCCTGAAACAGAGCTGATTATTATTTGCATTTTTCTGACGTCAGAAAAGGGGTGCTCCGCCTATATGGGTAACTCTCCACCTATCAGGGGAATTCGAGAGTGCTCGAAAGCGCTGGAGACGCTGTAGTATATATGCCAGGTCTGTAAGTGGCGCTGTAGTCTGCAACAAAAGCAGAATCAGCCCTTGCAAAAACAGGGCTGGAATAGAGCAAATAGAGCGAAATGAGGCATGGTTAAAATGCATGATCTGTTTGTTTTTTGTTTTTTTTAAACTTCACAGACATGTCTTATATAGGTATGGCCCTACAATATATGTTTCAAATATAGCATGATAGGTCAACTTTAAAGCATTTGAAATGATGGGCTCTGAGATTTACTTTGTTTTGTTTGTTAAATATGCATCCTTTGTTTTGACAAAACCTCAAAAACATGCCACAGAACTCATCTCTGTCATTAAAACAAACTCTGAAGAGCATCTGAACCCCTCACAGTGCAATACATCTTTTCTGTTCTGACAGTAACATTTCATTGACCCTTAAAACCCCTTTTTACTCAGAAGTGCGTTCTGCCTATTGTTACTCAACTGGGATGTTTGACTGACAGAATGATGTACGTTTCACACTAGAGGCAGTTTTCACAGTTATCTGAAGGTGATAGCTTTATCTATGCTCATCTGGAACTTCAGAACATGCATGTAAGAATATGATTTTGTGACTTTATAATCCGAGTTTGTCGAAAAGAAGAAGGATAAATAGTGTGTGTTCTAACTTACAAAACGCTCATCAGGGAGAACTCTTCTCCTGAACATTAGTGCTATTCAATGCGCCATCTGCTGCCCTGTATCACATTAATAAGGTGCCAAGAAGCAGCATGCCCAAAACTGTCCTCAGTGCCACCTCCTTAATGCACCACATGATTGTTTTTCTATTACAGTGTCTTTTATGGATCAGTGCACTGTAATACATTACAAAAATAAACTCTCAAGCTCTCCTCCTATTCAAACACTTGAATTTATTTTTATTTTAATGGGTTGATTTATTATCTAGAGACCTTTTTCTCACCCTTTTAAATATTCTATGTTCCTTTCCTTTGTCTTCCTCTGTGGTTTTCCTAAATCCACTCTGGGCATATCAGCCTATCTCTCCCTTGCTTCCCACTGGAATGCAGCTGAGATGAAACAAAGATTACAGAGAACACACAATACCATAGATAACTCTGAACATTTTTACCCACACTGTGCCTCTCTTTTCCCCCCTCCTCTCTCTGCAGCTCCGCACTGATGCAGAGAAACGCTCCCTGGTGGAAAGCGGACTCTCGTGGTACAGCGAGGATCACAAAGCCGGCCACAAGCTGGACAGTGGCAGCTATGAGACCGGGAGCCTCAAGACGGAGGCCCCGAGCAAGTGGAGGAAGAAGCCTCCGAGCCTCAGTGAAGATTTTGGGTGTAAAGGAGAACTGAAGAAGCCCCAAAGCTTGGGTCAACCAGGAAGCTTCAGGAAGGGTCGCAATCCTCCCGTAGGTGTGACCTCCCCCATCACCCACACCTCTCAGAGCACATTGAAAGTCGCGGGTGAGATCTTGTGGTATTTTCTCTTACTTTTTTATCTATATGCCTCTTTTTTTTCAGCTTTTCATTTTCTCTGCTGTTCATCTCCTGTAGGAATGTGGTTTACAGGATCTATGTCATCCATTATTTCCCTGTATGCTGTTTCCAAATGTAAAACAGCCTGTTTGTAGAGCAGCCAAGGCGGATATCTGCTTGGTGTCAGGAGGAAAACAGAAGTGTACCCCTTAGCGTAGGCCAGGTTCTGATTTGTAGCACACCACAATATACTGAAGGAAAATGCATCATGCAATCCGTTTTATTGAATTAAAGAAAATCAGAAAGCCCAGAGCCAAGTTTCTGCTATCATCTGAGAGAAAAGCTGGTTTCTGTAAATGTCCGCAGAGCCGCCATGTCTGCCATCTGCAGCAAATACATGAAGTTAATCCCAAACAAAAATATGCAACGATTAAATGATAAAACTTGAGGTCCAATACTAATGTTTCTAGTCGTTTACTTTCTATTTATTATCTTGATTTTGGCTTTAAACATAAGTGATTCAAATTAGTACGCTGGCTGCAGTTCTGCAATTATCCTTAAATGAATCTCCACATATTTTCCAGCTCTGTGCTCTTACTCTAACGATCCATACGAATCAGATTTTTGTGATTGATTATATCACTTTGATACATCATATGATATGTTTAAAACAAGTTTAATTGTGCATAAGACCCTTTTTAAGTCAGCTGATGAATCACATTTTATGTCATGGGCCCATAAAAGCTCTCTAAGTAAATACAGATGTGTCTTGTTTATATTTGATCTCGGCTGTAATAACTGGAAGACACTTGCATTCACTTTTACGCAAAAGTGTTTAGCTAAAGAGAAATGATGTATGACAGTGCTGATTATCCATTTCGGTTCCAGACAGAAGATACAATGTCACATACATAAATTCTTTTTGGACAGGGCTCAACATCAAAAAATGAATCAACTATTAAAACGTGTTTTTAAAAAAACAAACACATGTCCTTAAAATAGGACTAAAACTGTTTAAACTAGAGTTGGCAAGAACAATACACAGGATGAGAACACTTAGGAAAAGGGAAATATGTATATTTTCCTAAGCGTTTAGGGTGATTGCAGAGGGAATAAAGTATTTTTGTAGATTGTTTTCCAGGCCATTAGGTCTTTGTACGGCCTACCTTATGCTGGATTAGATAGAGGAGTTTAGGGTGACCTATTTGCTGGCCTGATTACTTATGCGGGACAGTTTTGTGCAATTCAAATTGTGTTTTCATTTTTGTTTGCTCAAGTTTACTGGCTTTACTATCCCACCTATTTATCTGTTCCTTCATTTATAATCTATCCATCTTTTTTGTGTATTCTTACCAGTCATGGTGTTTACAGGACAAACATTCTTGTTGCTCCTTATCAATATTGAAATACATGTAATTGTTATTGATATTGCCATTACGTTGTTATTCAACTCTACATTATCCTTCTTTGTCTAGCACCTAAATGTGAGAAGCCAATGGATAAATCCAGGATTTCCCTCAAAACTGCCGGTCTGCAGCGGTCCCGCTCAGACGCTGGCAAGGATCATCTTGGAGAGTACCGCAAGCCCCCGTCAGGTTTAGTTAAACCCACAGCTGGAGCCTCCTACGGCTACAAGAAACATCCAACAGCCACCGGCACCGCCACTGTTATGACAGCAGGGGGCACCACCATCTCCAGTGGCTCTGCTACTCTGGGCAAAATCCCCAAGTCATCTGGCATCCCTGTGAAGCCTGTGGGAGGAGGAGGAGGAGGGACACCCTCAGGAAGAAAGAACAGTTTTGATGCCAGCAGTGAGCAGTGCTTCCTGGGGCCAAACACTCGAAACAGCATTCAGTACCGCAGCCTGCCTCGACCGGCCAAGTCCAGCACGTTCAGTGTGATTGGTCGCCCTGCATGTCGGCCTCTCAGCGGCACCATCGACCCCAGCCTGTTGAGTTTGAAACCCGTGCCCATGGCCTCCACAGGCCCCAGGATTAAAGAGCCCAGTAGCTGTAAGATGTCCAGTCGATCGAGCACAGGCCCCGTGAACATGACCGACCGGGAGAAGGAGAAGGAGAGAGCCAAGGCCAAGGCTGTGGGGGCCGACATGGACTGTGGGTCTCTGAAAGCAGAGACTCGGTCCTCAGGAGAGTCCACCATGAAACTGCACGGCCTGAGACGGACCAGCAGCAGCAAATACCCTGAACTGTCATCGCCCACCACACCAAGGTGTCTCATTTAAATATCACTTTAAAGTCATATAAACCAAATGACAAAACAAAATGTAATCCCTCTGTCCTCCAGTGACATCTAGAGGTATTCTTCTTCACTAGTATCTAGCCATGCAGGTAGATTCACTTTGGTTGTGTTTACTCTAAAGTTAGGAAACTCCTCAATAGACTACCATAACAAAATGAAACTAAATTAAATACATTTCCTTTTAAAGAAATACAAAATAAATACAAAGTTCACCAGCAATATCTTTCTCCATAAACAGTGTCCCAGCTACTCTTAATAATCCACAGAGTACTATGAACAGTTTAGAGCAGAGGTTTTCAAAGTGGGAGGCAAGGATCCAAACGTTTTCAGGGGAGGCTCAGTGAATGGAAGTGTAAAATATGAAAATGAGTTGGCCTATTCAATTAGTTATGATGAATAAGATCACATGAAATGGCCTTAATGGGTGTGACTTGATTAAAGAGATAGGGAAATTGAACTTTGTGTCTCACTCTCACAGATTAAGAAACTATTGCGTACCAGTGCTATATCATCTACTTAGGGTTGTCTGGAGTTATGTCAGCAATAATGACTCTAGATCTTGGCTCAAAGGGAGGCTGAGGTGGTTCTTTCCAAGCTTTGTCTGTGGGGAGACCTACAGTCACAGATCTTGAAAACCCCTGGTGTACAGCAATGGAAACATAGTTGTTTTGGATCTATGTTTGTGTTGATATGTGGAGGCAAATCAGACAGATACTTGGCAAACACAACTACAACTTATCTGCCTTTCTATGTATGTCTCGAGGTCGGGACGCTAGACGTTTTTGTATTTTAACCTATTCTTTATGCCTGACTCCTAGGATGATGAACACAAAGTCTCTGGGCCGTCCACCCAGCTTGGCTCACCTTGACAAGGTCAACTACAACAGCCTTGACTCCTGTGTGACCATCCATGACCTCCCGCCAAAAGTCCCCCCTTTTTCCAAGCTGCAGGACCTGGCTGGTGCCCACACCTCCTCCCGCCTCACCCCCAGCCCAGCCCCTGTGCTCCACATCGACTCCCCCGGCTCCTACACCAGTGAGAGCCTGAGTCTGGGCGGCTCCCCGCTGCTCTACCCCAAGCTGTCAGGCATGCACCGCAGCATGGAGTCCCTGCCCCTCCAGATGAGCGTGCCTCCCAGTTCCAGGTTTGTCAGAACTGAGACACATAACAAGGAAGAGAGGGGAGCGGGAACCTGGGGGGCCGGAAGCAGGACCTCCCTCAACCTCACAGATAGGCAAGTCTCATCTACAGAATATCTAACGTTGATCCATGAAAGATTTACACAATCAATATAAAAGCATTCAAGAACATTTATTTTAGTAAAAATCAGTCCAAAGCCACTTTTTCCATCTTCCTGTGAACCATTATTGGTAGAAGGTACTTCATTCAACCCAACAACTGAACTTTTTTTCATTATGAACACAGTCAACATTGGACTTTAAGTTTCTTGGCAGCAGACAAACCAGCCCTCCATATTTTATGTGCCTTTTTCCGGGAAAGGAAACTCTAAGGTGTCATTTAGAAGATGGAGGGCTGGATCCTTTGGGGAATTGCTGTCTGTCAAAGTGGAGATAGTCCAAATAATGTCCTGCCAAAAGAATGTACTTTAAGGCAATCCCACGCTGTGTACTAAAGAGTACATAATTATTGGCAAACCTTTGAGACGTCTTATTTAGGTGTCGCAGGTCCTATGACAAACCTTTAGATGAATGATGGTGTTCTAAGAGACACACTTTGTGTTTGCTTTCTTTTAATAATGTTTTATTCTCTTCTTAACAGCTTGCAAGCGGACAGAAATACCTTACCGAAGAAAGGCTTGGAGTAAGTTAAAACAATTACAGTCCCAACCATCTAATTGCAATGTCCCACTGTGATGTATGTCTGAAGTTAAAGCGACCTCTTTTCCTCAGACGCTATGGCTCAAGCCTGTCAGACAGTGACGGCAAACCGGAGAGGCGCCACTCCCACACCATAGTCAGCATGACAGAGAGCGATAGCCCCCCTCAGCTGCCTTCTCCCACCCGCCCTCTCCACCCCTCCTCCGGCAAGGCTCCCTTCACCAACGTGGGTGAGTCTGCTCGCTCCATTCGGCTGCCAAGTTCTAAAAACACTCACACCGTGTGAGCCTCGAGAACTAATGAGGCTTTGAGGTATTTGATTAGCGGTCCATTTTATCGCTGATTATTATTGAGGAGAGGGATGTTAAGTTCCCACTGGAAAGAGGAAAAGTCCAGCATAGTTTTTTTAATAAATATTGACTTAAGTTGTCGAAAATAAAATAAGTTATGTCTGGACAATGAAGTTTTGGCAAGTAGTTATCAGATTGGACTGTGTGAACAAATATTACAGTCCCACATCTGCAGTCATTTAGAGTTGTGTTCAAATCTGAAATATGGCCTAGCTTGAGGCAGTAGGGGGTCATGTCAGGCTATATTTATCTATTTGACTGTTGTGGAACCGTAGTGTTGTGTTTCACTTAGTCATCAGAAAGAGGGGAGCTATACCCAGATGTACTCTGAGTGAAGAGTGTGTGCATGTTTCTCCATGCAACTCATCCATCCATGTTATCACTGCCACTCACTGTTTTTCAAAACCTCCTCTTTTTTTGTCATAGTTGCCCCCATTTCTAGTGGCACCCCGAGGATATCGCGCTCCAACAGCATAGGCCCCCCCGGTGAGTTGGCCTGCGATCTCTATGGAACCTCCCCCCTGGGCAGCAGCATTTCCCTGGCTGACCGGCCAAAGAGCATGATGCGTTGTGGGTCTTTCCGCGAACCAGGAGATGATGGTGAGCGTGCCAAGCAAGCCCCCCCCCCGTGCAGAGGAGTTACACAACATGACCTAAAAAAAATATTGTCCACTGACAAAGGACACAATCTGTTTAGCAAAATGTCGAAAGAACCTTAATTTTGTTACCTTCATTTTAGATTAAAAGGGTCCTGTTGTGCTTTTTGGGGTTTTCCCTTCCCGTATTGTGTATAGGTTTTTGTGCATGTCAATGGTCTGCAAAGGCTAAAATCCCAACGTTCCCTCCACGGGGAGTTTCTCTCCCACACACTCCCCCCTGCCTGAAACGCAGGACTCCCTGGTTTACTTCCGTAACATAGTGACATCACTATGCAACACTTGCGCTTCTATTGGCTAGCGCTCCAACAGATTGTACGTGATGAGATGGGACATCTCTAAGCAGTTGACCAGTCACAACAGAGCCGGCCAGCTAACCAATCAGAGCAGACTGGGCTCTGGTTTCAGACAGAGGGTGAAAAGAGCTGCAGCAGCAAAGGCAGTATGAAAATAAATAAATATTAAATTAAAATAAAGACCCTTTTGAACATTAAAGCAAGTAAACATGTCACAGTAGAGGCACCAAATACACATATGAACCTGAAAATAGAATAGAATAGAATATGGAGGGATGAAACCCTCTAATGTTCACACATGCAGAGCACACAGCACACAGTGACATTTGTTCCCTGCATTTAACCCATCCTAGTACCAGGAGTCTAGTACTAGGAGCAGTGGGCAGCTATTGTACAGCGCCCGGGGCAAATGAGCATAATAGGGCCCCTTGAATAGTGAGTAATATAAGGACTTAAAGGCACTATCTGTGGTCCAAATGTAGACATAACAGGAGGGATGATGAATATTAAAAACCTGCTTTCACTTGCAGCCTTTTTAATAAACATTCTACGACAAAAAGTTTGGATGCGACAGCAAAGCTTTTTTTACATCACACTTTTACACCATGTCTATGAATGTGGCTGCTATGACTTGTACTTAATTTACTGACTGAGTTTGAGGTATTCCATTGTCTTCAGGGTTGTCAGCATTATTTGTGACTGGGGATAGCAGGGGAAACTGTCAGTTATATAAATATTAAGTCAAATCTCTACCTTGCTTGTTTCAGTGCATGGCTCTGTGCTCTCTCTGGCGTCCAATGCTTCATCCAACTATTCGGCGGTGAGTAAATACAGTCATTATATTTACAGTTAATGTTACTTTTGCTATAGTTTAGTGCTGTGTGACTCCAGTTAACAAACTGTTCTGTCATCAAGAGGAAAAGTAATCAATTACAAAAGTTTGTACAGTATTAAATGCTTTTTCAGTGGCCCTATTTAGAACTATTCAGGGACAATTTGACTTTTTTCAAGCGGGGGAAGCTTGCATGTGTAATGTTCAGTGAACTTAAATCCTTGCCTAGTAATTAACACACCTCTTAGTGACATGCCACTGCTTTCTGTGAATCAACAGCTTGGTACCTATTCTGACTTTTTATTACACCATTATTGTCCCTATACAACTTCAGTGATGTGCCTTTTACTGTTGATAAGTAGTTTTCCTTATCCCTCTTTTATTGTTCATTTCCACCATGCCTTCTCTAGAATGAGGAGAGGATACAAGGGGAGGTAAGGCCGACATGCTACCAGTCTTCAACTCACATTGTCTCTGTCTCGTCTGTCAGTCATTTCTTGTTGAAAAGGGTCCATTCATAAGACAATGTTATCAGTGCTCAGTGAAGTCTGTGACCGCAGGTCTCTTCACTCAGGGTCTCATAACTGAGTTCATTTTGTTTTATCTCTAATATCTGTTATCGTTATCCACCACTTGCTAACATTTCATAAAGACATTGTCAGACCCAATAAAGTACCTAGTGCATGAGAAAAGTGCTCAAAAATTGTTTATTTAACATTTTCTATTTGTTCTAATGTGTCATTTTGGTTTCTTTTATAGTTTGTTTTGGGTTATTCTTTCCCCTTAAACAGTCAAAGCAAGTTTGTTTCAGCACATTCTGTTGCTGCATTAATGCAATAAATATCCTCTACACGTTTGCCACCTTGTCTGAGGTTCTTTTATACATTGTACATGCAGCTTGGGCTTACTCTTCAATTTGTCCACAGCAAATCCGCAAGTTGAGGCGAGAGCTGGAGTCTTCCCAGGAAAAGGTTGCAGACCTGACCATGCAGCTGAGCGCCAACGTATGTATGATTCATCTCTCAAAGATGCGCCTTTTGCCTCTTTTCATTTATTTATGTTTTGGAGGCATGCCGATCTTTTATCAGTGTGCGATATATCTAACAGCTAGATTATAACTCCTCAAATTCCCTGGCGTTTTATCCGACAACTAACTGAGATCCAGAAACTATTTAACAGGTGTATCTAATATCTGAACCACATTTTTCAGAGGGTGCGATGTAGGGAAGATATGGTGTGAATCTTTGCTCATGTAAGGAAATGAGTATCACTGGGGATGAATCGGGATGCCGAGGCATAACTCTGGCTGATATTCAGGGAGGAAGGATTACAAGCCACAACCTTTCTAGGATCTACGAACCTATTCCAAACTCTGGGATGTTGACCATTTTATTTGATAACTGACAGTAGGATGATGGCATCTAAAGAAGGGAAAACAACGTCTCCAGTTGAAGTTGGCTGTCGGCTCCTTAACCCCAATATACATTTCTCTCACTGTCACTCACGTCTTCACACTGTTATCATTTTCAGCTCTGCAATCTTGATAGAAACCTGTTTAACCTTCGACTGAATGATTGTATGCCCCTGCTTCTTACTGTCTCACCCCTGCAGCTTCTAGATGCTTGAGTCTTCCTGTTTTCATCTCAACTTATACTTTTAAACCACCTAATCACTGATCCCGATCTGATAGACATTCAGTATGAACTAAAGTCTCCTATTGCACATTTTACCAACTGCCAATGCTTAACTAACATGGGTGTTCAAGTGACCGTGTCAAGCATATATTTGATTGTTTTCCTGTATATGATTCTGCCATATAAGTCTATTCCCACGCCTAACGCCAGTGTCCCTCTCTTTTACTCACTTGGACGTATTCACTGCTGGACTTGCTGCTCCCCCCTGCCTGCATCCCTCTGACCTGCACCTTTGGATGCTGGGTGTAGCAGCTAGGACAGGTTTGTTGGACTGTTGCTTCCAGAGAGCTGTCTGTCGCTGATGCATGATTCTGTGGATCTCAAGCTTAGTCGTTTGCCACCATCTCACTTCTATGTTAGGCTCACTTTGCATGTGAACATGTTGGCACCTAATTGGATGACCCCTAGTCTCCTAGCTAGTGTCTTTATATTTCTCATTTGTTCTGCCCCCTAAAAATTCTGAGGATATCCTGAAAAAAAACGCAAATGTTTGGATATATATTTGTTTATATTCGCTTGCTGAATACCTCAAACAATTATGAAATTATTACTTATTTTCTGTCAATCGACTTATTATTCTACACACACTTTCACAGCACCAGTTTCTGTTTCATTTCATTTGGTTGGTAAAAAACAAGCCATACTAAGAGAAATTTACTTTGAGAAGTTTGGGATCAGGACTTCCAGGTGATGAAAAAAACAGTCAAATTGATAGCCTAGCCTTCTACACTTTTATTGGGTCATTGCGTTTGTTACAACCACCATGTGTGCTCTTATGATGCCTTGAGATAAATGGGACCCAAAATGAATACCTAAGCAAGGTACCATCAAAAAAACATAAAGAAGTGAGTAATAGCTGACTGAAGGCTGGTCATTTTTAACAAAAGCTAGCCACACATTCTGGCCAACCACACAACATGCTCAAACTATAAACCCCCCCAAAAAACATAACCTAACAAAAATAAAGCAGCGAAAAAAAGAATACCTGATCCATCATTCAAACAAACTTGCGTAGAATCAGGAATGTCTTAACATAACATAACAATGTCTTTCTTAGGATGGTGTCAGCCATATATGTTGGTATATTTGTAATTGTTCACTTAATCAGCAGAAATAGTGAGAGACAGCCCTGCCTAAAGGGTCAAACTTGTTACATGATTTGGACAGGTTTGTCCTCAGGCACTACACCGGTTTCCACCCTCACCACCACCACCGTCATCATCCACAGCTGTCCACTCCCCCC